CCAAAAGAACTCTTCCATGTGAAGAACGGAAAACCAAGGCCCGGGGTGAGGTGTGCACTTGCCCCAAGTCACATAGCCCACCAGTCCGCTCAGCCTTGAATTGGAGGAAGAGGTGGCCCCTCCAGAGGACCCTCAGCACATTGTCATTGACCTCACCCAGAACAAATCCCCGAGGGACACCCTTGACTAGACTCTGCAATATTAGAATTTGGACTCTTTCAGCTTCCAAACTTGATGTCCTTTTCCTCCCTGCCCCCAACCCAGCACCAGGGCTCAGGACATCCTTCTCTAGCAACAGGGATGAGATGATGGTGCTGGCAAGCCTCCCCCCAAAGATGCAGTGGCACAACCAGGAGAGCGACCTTGGGCAGGCATGGGTCCCCGTCCTGGAGAGATCTGCGATGCTCACCGAGCCCAGGGATTCCCAAGCTCATCAAGCAGCGGAAGCCTCATAGCAAACAAAATTCCATGCGGAAGTCTAATATGAAAGTGGCGTGCACCTCTAGGGTGTGTGAGCATTTTTTAAAAAGTGCTCCCTAATTACTGAAGAAGATAAAGCTCCAAATCAAGTTGAAAGCTACCAAAGCAGTTTAGATTCCTAAGCCACAAGGGATAAAATATTAAACGTGTTTGGTAAGTTTAAACATAACATGTATTTATTGTCACCTTGATGGCAGCCCTGAGGTTGTTTTCCGAATGCAAAACACACAAAAAAGCCAAGTTGTAATCATTTAAGTCTCAGCATGCGATTTATTTCTGTGTTTTCTTTGCTTGCTCAGGTTTGAGAAAAGTCTAGATTTGTATGGATATGTGGTTTGAAGAGCTCACCTGGAAATCTCAAAGTACTCTTCAATAAAATGGTTTGATTCACTCATTCATTCATCCAACAAGTATTTACTGAGTGCCTACTGTGTGCCAGGCATTCTGCTGAGGCCTGAGCAAGTGGGAAGAATGTTTGTTTCGATCTAAATCACTAATGTAACAATTATTCACATTCTTCACTGTGAGTGGTAGTCAAATGAAAAGACTCAAGCTTATAATAAGCACCAAATCTCCCTTTGGTAAACTATTACAATTTTATAGCAAGCCATGTGTAATTGCTCAACATAAAGTAACATGCCCCAGGTCAACGGGCCTTAGTCTTGCCTGGGAAGAGCAAGTGTGACTGAGCATGTATCTCTAATCATCTATGCAACTGTCCAGTTTAAAAGAAATACAACCATCCTCATTAATGACACATTTCAAGAAGTTCAAATATAGAGATTCAAAAGGCCACCCATTCATTCATTCGACATTTATCAAGTTTGTACTATGTGACAGCCACTGTGTTGGTTTCTGGAAATGCCATGATCAACAAAACGTCCCTGCCTTCATGGAGCTACATCAATCAATGAACAAAACTAATAAAGAAGATAATTAAGGAGTGGCTGTGCTAAGAAGGAAATGAGCAGGTTGATATGACCCAGTTATCTTAGAGAGGATGGTGAGAGACATGTGAGCTAAGACCTGATATATGAAAAGCAACCAATCTTGAAAAGAGCCGGGAGACGGTGCTGTAATCAGCAAGAACAAGGCCCTGAGGCAGGACCTTGCTCAGAGGGTTGGAAAACAAGGAAGGTGGTCAGGCCAGAATGGAGTTCAAAAGGGACAGTGATTCAGGTGAAATTCCAGAGATGGGCTGAGGCAGCTCATGCAGGGTCTTCTAGGCCAGGGTGTGGAGATGAGATTTTATTCTAAATGCAATGAGAAGCTGTTAGGGAGTTTGAAGCAGAAGAGGGTTATAATCCCATTTATGTCTTTAAGGGATTACTCAGGCTGATGTGTAGTGAATGAATACACTGGAACAAGAGTGGAAGTAAGAAGAGTAGCCAGGAGGCGGTTGGGTTGTCCATGCCAGCAGTGTGACAGCTTAGTCCAGGATGGTGACACTGGAGATGGAGAGACTTGAGAGATGTCTTAGAGGTTAAGTGGAGAGGTCCTCCACATGCACAGATCTCTCCTCTGGAACTCTGGCCTCATAAATCCTCTTGCCTACTTGACATCCCCACCTGGATATTGAATATGCATTTCAAATTTTGCCCAAACTCGGGCTCTTGATCTATCACCCACAAACCTGCTCTTCCCCCACTTCACTCTTCCTGGAGTCATCCTTAAGTCCTCTTCTCTCAGTGCCCACATCCAATTATGAATAAGCCTTGCTGACTCCATCTTCAAACGGCCTCATAAATCCTCTTGCCTACTTGACATCTCCGTTTCAAATTTTGCCCAAACTCGGGCTCTTGCTCTGTCACCCACAAACCTGCTCTTCCCCTACTTCCCTCTTTCAGGAGTCATCCTTAAGTCCTCTTCTCTCAGTGCCCACATCCAATTATGAATAAGCCTTGCTGACTCCATCTTTAAAATATATCTGGAATTCAACCACTTTCACCATCTCTACAGCTGCCACCCACATCTAAGACACCATTACTACTCATTTGGAATATTGCAATAGCCTCCATTTGCTCTCCCTGCTTCTGCCCTTGCTCTCTATAACCAATATGCTCCTGTTAAAATGTAAGTCAGATTATGACATTCTTCTCTTCTGCTCAAGCCCTCCAGTGACTTTCCAGAATACAATTCCTTTGCTCCCCCTCTGACCCTATCTCCCACCACTCTCCCACTGGCTCACCCTTCTCCGGACATACCGGCCTCCTTGCTGTACTTTAAATCTACCAAACACAATCCTGCCCCAGGACTTTTGCACATGCTTTTCCTTCTGTCTGGCTCCAGATGTCTATTTCTGCTCCCCCCCCTTCATTCAGAACTCTGCTCAAATGTAATCAGCCTAAAGAGGTCTTCCCTGACCACTCCATATAATGAAATAATCTTCATTACTTTGTTCCCTTGCCTTGTTTTATTTTTTTATAGAACGTATAACCTTCTGACATCATACAGTATATTTCGTTGTTTATTCATTTCTTGTCTATCACCCTACCCTAAAATGTAAGCACCATGAAAGCACCTTAATTTTGTTCATTACTTTATCCTCAACACCTGGACTAGCACCTGGCACACCAAATTGATGCTCCTCTTGTTTTATTTTTTTTTATAGAACGTATAACCTCCTGACATCATACAGTATATTTCTTTGTTTATTCATTTATTGTCTATCACCCTACCCTAAAATGTAAGCACTATGAAAGCACCTTAATTTTGTTCATTACTTTATCCTCAACACCTGGACTAGCACCTGGCACACCAAATTGATGCTCCATAATATGTGTTCAATGAATAAATGAAAGTGGTGTTATGGTGCAAAGGGAGGCAAACATTTCATGAAAGGGGTTTTCAGCACTACTACGAGTGAAGAAGGCAGGGCTCCAAAAGAGCCCTCTCTAGGTTTGGTGGGAAAGGGGGGCTTCCCAGCATCCAGGGGACCAGTTAGGAAGGCTTCCAAAGTTAGTGGGAAAGGCACAAAAATCATTCTTGCTTCTATCTCTGTGCTCCAGAAGAAGAGACCCAAGGGAGTGTCTAGTCCAAGTGAGACCTCTAGCCAGAGTGCTGAGAGGAATGTGTGGACTGCAGATTCAGGAAGAGGCTGAGAAGCCCTATGGGGGTAGGTACACCCGAAGGCTTGTGAGGGAGCCAGAGATCCCATGGGGTGGCCGCCTCCTCCTATTTTCAGTCTCTGCAGTGGGCCTGCTGGGAAGAAATGCAGCTGCAGCCTCAGTGGGAGCTGAGCCCTGAGACTACATGGCCCCTGTCAGGGCTCTCAATGCCCCAGCCAACAGCTGGGGAGCCTACAGGGAGGCTACAGTCCACCGTTGCCAGTGACAGAAGCAAGCCCTTCTTGTTAATATAGCCTTGCACCTCAGACTGTGGGCTACCACATCTTTTGTCTCCAGATTCTCACCACAATCACTCCAAGAGATCGCTATTATTATCCCCAAATTTGCAAAGTGGGGAAATAGGCTCGGAAGGCCAGTGACTTCCACAAAATCAGACAGGAAACTGTGAGGTCTGTACTGGAACTTAGGTCATTGTTCTGCAAACTCCACACTGAAGTGATGTTCTCAGGATGGGTCTGGGGATTCGAGGCCTTTTCGCAATAAGCTTTTCTGGTGCAGCACTGCGGGCCAGACAGGAGGCAAGACCTGAGCAGATGGAGTTTTCTTTCCAGATGAAGAGATAGTTCCTCCTAGAGCGGCACTGGATACCCAGGTGCCAAAATGTGCAGGTTGAGATGGTCAAGGAGTCCGTTTCCCTCCCTCAAAGCAGGGACCAGAGCTGAATTTGGAGAGCTTAGTGCAAAGCTTTCGCAGCAATCCTATACACCGGTATAGATGCAGCTGGATTTCCAAACGTCCAGGGAAGATGAGCAGGAGCTGGCCTAATGAGCAGGCTGTCACGTCCAGTTTGACTCAGGTTTACCCACTTAGACTCTGGGAGTCCATCTCTGGAGTCGATCTCTCGTTTGCGCGTTTCTCTGCCTCTGACTCTAGCCTTCTGCTTTCTGACTGTCTCTCAGCCTCTTGGGTATATCTCTCACGGACTCACTATCTCAGCTCTGAGTGTGTCTCTCTCCAAATCTCTTCCCATCTGACTTCTACGCCTACCCTGCTTTTGGGTCCTCCTACCCCAAATCAGAGGACAGAGGAGCCCAAAGTCAGTTGGGAGGTGAGCGCCCTCGGCCAGCGTTTCCTGTGGACACAGGGAGAGTCTTGTGCTGGAGAGGTTTGGAAAGAGTGTGCCCGGGAGCCAAGTGCAGCCGCGCCGCGTCGCGCTGCCAGCTTCTGCCTCCCTTCCTGCCTGGGGAGGAGTCAGAGCGCGCGCGCTCCGGGTAGAGAGGTAGGGGGATGGCCCCCGCGGCCACCCAGGGGATCCCAAGCTCCTCCCTTCCCTGCTCCTATTGGCCTCGGGCGCCCCCGCCCCCAGCAGCCGGCTCCAGCTCGGGGGACCAGTAGGCTACTACTGGATAAATAGCCCCCGGCGCCCGGCTTGAAGTTAGGGGTGGAGAAGCCCCAGGGCACTGCCGCCACTTTCCCGGGTGCCCGTCAGGCCGGACCGGATAGGGCAGGGTGGGGGGTGAGCGGGTATACATCTAGACCCCCAGCACTTTGCTCTCACACGGCGCCCGGCCGGGGCTCCAGGGTGGGAGAAAGTTTAGGGCAACCCTTGCCGCTGGGGTTGGGCAAACCCTGGACTGCGCCTCCCCGGGCCGAGATATGGAGCTGCTGTCGCCACCGCTACGCGACGTAGACTTGACGGGTCCCGACGGCTCTCTCTGCAACTTTGCTACAGCGGACGACTTCTACGATGACCCGTGTTTCGACTCCCCGGACCTGCGCTTCTTTGAGGACCTGGACCCGCGCCTCGTGCACGTGGGCGCATTTCTGAAACCTGAGGACTCCCACTTCCCTGCGGCTGTGCACCCGGCCCCCGGCGCCCGCGAGGACGAACATGTGCGCGCGCCTAGTGGGCACCACCAGGCGGGCCGCTGTCTACTCTGGGCTTGCAAGGCGTGCAAGCGCAAGACCACTAACGCCGACCGCCGCAAGGCTGCCACCATGCGCGAGCGGCGCCGCCTGAGCAAAGTCAACGAGGCCTTCGAGACGCTCAAGCGCTGCACGTCTAGCAATCCTAACCAGCGGCTGCCCAAGGTGGAGATCCTGCGCAACGCCATCCGCTACATCGAGGGACTGCAGGCGCTGCTACGCGACCAGGACGCCGCGCCGC